TGAGTGAATGGTGGCACTGGGCACAGTATCCACTGTGAGCCTGACACAGAAGCTGGCAGACAACTAACTGCTATTCAATCTATTATAGTGAAAACATTTTTATTTTTTTTAAATGCAAGCTATTGTGACACCAGTGAGTGAGTGGTGGCACTGGGCACAGTATCCACTGTGAGCCTGACACAGAAGCTGGCAGGCAGGCAGGCAACTGCAATTACATTACACACACACACAAAAAAAAAAGCAGACTGATGTTCTAGCCCTAAAAAGGGCTTTTTGGGGTGCTGTCCTTACAGCAGAGATCAGATGAGTCCTTCAGGACTGTAGTGGACACTGTATACCCTAACCTAGCTATGCATTTCCCTATCTAATCAACTGCAGCTACACTTTCCCTCCTCTCACTAAACATGCAGCTTGAGAATGAATGTAAAATGGATGCCTTCCAGTAGGTGGGAGGGTCTGCTAGGGAGGGTGTGCTGCTAATTGGCTGGAATGTGTCTGCTGACTGTGAGGTACAGGGTCAAAGTTTACTCAATGATGACGAATAGGGGGCGGGTCGAACCGCGCATATTTTCGCCCACCGTGGCGAACGCGAACATGCTATGTTCGCTAGGAACTATTCGCTGGGTTACCGTGGCAACTCTGCGCGGCAAGCAGACTGCGAGACTTACACTGGGAGCTGAATTGGAGAGCTGCACAGAGCTGATAGGGAGCTGACCGGAGCTGCTACAAAGGTAAGAGCTTGCTCCGGGCCCCCCCTGCATAGCCCATTCACTGGACCACCAGGGAATGTTATAGCCCCCATCCCTGGCCAGACAACAAGCAGGGAGGGGGGACAAATTTTTTTTTTTTTATAAATATTAAAATAATCTAAATAATATTTAAAAAATATTAAAATAATTATATTAAGATAATATTAAAAAAAAATGTAAATAATGAAAATGCCCTCCCTCACCCAGTTTACACACACACACACACACACACACACACACACACACTCTGCATTCACACAAACACACACTGAATTATATAGACACACACACTCTGCATTATATACACACAGAGTGTGTGTATATAATGCAGAGTATGTGTTTGTATGAGTGTGTGTGTGTGTGTGTATAATGCAGAGTGTGTGAGTATATAATGCACACACTCTGCATTATATACATACATACTCAAACAAAAACACACTCTGCATTATATACACACATTACACACAAACACTCTGCATTCATTATATACACACTACACAAACACACACACTGCATTCATTATATACACACACTGTAAATAAATATTCGATTAATGTAATTTTATTAGGATCTAATTTTATTTAGAAATTTACCAGTAGCTGCTGCATTTCCCACTCTAGGCTTATACTCAATAAGTTTTCCCAGTTTTTTGTGGTAAAATTAGGGGCCTCGGCTTATATTCAGGTCGACTTATACTCGCGTATATACAGTAACTGTAACCTAACCTACACAGTGCATCTAACGTGTGTGGGAGCCTGGAGTGTCCCTTTAATAATATAAACCCACCCAGTATAACTAACTGTAACCTAACCTACACAGTGCATCTAACGTGTGTGGGAGCCTGGAGTGTCCTTTAATAATATAAACCCACCCAGTATAACTAACTGTAACCTAAACTACACAGTGCATCTAATGTGTGTGGGAGCCTGGAGTGTCCCTTTAATAATATAAACCCACCCAGTATAACTAACTGTAACCTAACCTACACAGTGCATCTAACGTGTGGGAGCCTGGAGTGTCCCTTTAATAATATAAACATACCCAGTATAACTAACTGTAACCTAACCTACACAGTGCACCTAACGTGTGTGGGAGCCTGGAGTGTCCCTTTAATAATATAAACCCACCCAGTATAGCTAACTGTAACCTAACCTACACAGTGCACCTAACGTGTGTGGGAGCCTGGAGTGTCCTTTTAATAATATAAACCCACCCAGTATAGCTAACTGTAACCTAACCTACACAGTGCATCTAACGTGTGTGGGAGCCTGGAGTGTCCCTTTAATGATATAAACCCACCAAGTATAACTAACTGTAACCTAACCTACACAGTGCACCTAACGTGTGTGTGAACCTGGAGTGTCCCTTTAATAATATAAATCCACCCAGTATAACTGTAACCTAACCTACACAGTGCATCTAACGTGTGTGGGAGCCTGGAGTGTCCCTTTAATAATATAAACCCACCCGGTATAACTAACTGTAACCTAACCTACACGGTGCATCTAACGTGTGTGTGAGCCTGGAGTGTCCCTTTAATAATATAAACCCACCCAGTATAACTAACTGTAACCTAACCTACACAGTGCATCTAACGTGTGTGGGAGCCTGGAGTGTCCCTTTAATAATATAAACATACCCAGTATAACTAACTGTAACCTAACCTACACAGTGCACCTAACGTGTGTGGGAGCCTGGAGTGTCCCTTTAATATTATAAACCCACCCAGTATAGCTAACTGTAACCTAACCTACACAGTGCATCTAACGTGTGTGGGAGCCTGGAGTGTCCCTTTAATAATATAAACCCACCCAGTATAACTAACTGTAACCTAACCTACACAGTGCATCTAACGTGTGTGGGAGCCTGGAGTGTCCTTTAATAATATAAACCCACCCGGTATAACTAACTGTAACCTAACCTACACAGTGCATCTAACGTGTGTGGGAGCCTGGAGTGTCCCTTTAATAATATAAACCCACCCAGTATAACTAACTGTAACCTAACCTACACAGTGCGTCTAACGTGTGTGGGAGCCTGGAGTGTCCCTTTAATAATATAAACCCACCCAGTATAACTAACTGTAACCTAACCTACACAGTGCACCTAACGTGTGTGGGAGCCTGGAGTGTCCCTTTAATAATATAAACCCACCCAGTATAACTGTAACCTAACCTACACAGTGTAACAGGACAGAGGTAGCTCGTTCGGTTACCTAAGCCAAGATACTGCATTCACCTGGAATGGAATCAGTTAACATACAGGGCGACCCATTCCTCCCCAAGAAACTGGATGACACACAGTTCCAGGGGGTACAACAACAACTTTATTGGCCACACTTGGCTTTATACTTTTCCTCATGCAAGGGGTGACACCACACAAGGACATTGTCTCCTTCCAGGATCCTTCCCCTCCCAGGAGTCCCAGCGCGGACCAGAACCAGGTCTCTTTGTCCCTTGTTCCCGCCACCCAAACACAGGGTTTCCCACATCCGGGAACAGGGGGTCTGCCATTGTCCTCAAAAGATGTCCACACAAATCTCCAGGGACCCCCGTAATGGTACCTGCCTCGAACAGCCTTCGTTTGCGGGGTCCCCATTTGAAACCAGGCAAGGGAAGCGTCTCCTTTTGGGGTACGAATGCTCCCCCTAGTTGGCACTCGTTTATATGAATGGCAGCCACCCAGAGAAGCACTCATTAATTACTTCCCTTGCGGTTTCACTCTTATTGATTTGTGCGAACATTCCAATGGGCACGGGGAAGGTCCTCGTTCGGGAAATGAACAAGGTGAGAAGCAATCTGCGAATGCTCCCCATGGATGGCATTCGCCTATACAAAATGGCTGCCATCCAGGTGCTGAGGCTTCCCTTGCGGTTTGTGGTTTTGACACCTTGTTATGAGGTGCGAATGTTCTAAACCAACATTCTAAATGAGGTATCGTGGTGCCTGTTCGGGAGCTGAATGAATTCCCTTCGTGGAAGTCCTCCCGAATGGGGAGCAGACAAATTTATAAGCAGTAGCGGTGAAACACACAACTTAGAACAAGGTAATGCACGAACAGGCAGTGGTCCCGCCGCACAGTGCACCTAATGTGTGTGGGAGCCTGGAATGTCCCTTTAATAATATAAACGCACCCAGTATAACAAACTGTAATCTAGAGTACACAGTGCATCTAACGTGTGTGGGAGCCTGGAGTGTCCCTTTAATAATATAAACGCACCCAGTATAACTAACTGTAACCTAACCTACACATTGCACCTAACGTGTAAGAGTCGGGAGTGTACCTTTAATAATATAAACCCATCCAGTATAATTTACCGTAACCTAACCTACACCGTGGGTCTAAAGAGTGTGGGAGCCTGGAGTGTCCCTTTAATTATATAAACCCACCCAATATAAATGTAACCTAACCTACACAGTGCACCTAACGTGTGTGGGAGCCTGGAGTGTCCCTTTAATAAAAGGGACATTCCCTATAACTGTAACCTTAGATGCTGCTTTACCTTTATTATTTTAGTATTTATACTAATATTATGTACTTTTAGCGCCTTTTTTGCTTGTTTGTTTTTTAGTCTTATAACTGTAACCTTCCCTAGTGTTAGAGCTCCCGATCTGCACCATGTGGCTGCACCCGATCGGTGCGGTAACGCTGCAGGAGAGAGAGGTTACTCACCTAATACGCAGCTCTTCTCCCTCCGAGCGGCGTCTGGTGTAGCGACCGGGTCCAGAGTTAAGGAGGACACTAAATAGTGCTGCCCCCCCAAAACATCTTATTTGACATAAAAGTGCATGCCACGTCACGTTTTTGATGCACACACACGTTTTGGGGTCATAGGTCCCATTTTGACCACTGAGCGATGTTTTGTGATTAGATAAACCCAGACCTGCTAGTGTTCAGTGTCCTGTCATGGTTTCCACTACTTTGATAATCTGAGAGCGCGTTTGGTATATTGTTATTCTTTTTTTTTTTTATCTTAACCTACACAGTGCAACTAGAGCCTGGCGTGTACCTTTATTAGGCCCGCTGTAATAACAGGGGTGCATGCTGTATATTCGTGTTTCTCTGTTGAAATTAGCATATTTTGGGGCTCTTGTGGATGTTGCAATCATTTTGTATCGTAGGCTGAGCAGACTGGTGTTTACGTCTGTCTCGATATCTAAATATCAAAGTGTTTTTAATTTACCCTTTTACGTGCGTGAAGTGAAACATACAATATTGCGTTAATCGGAAACTCGTGGTCAGGCAGTTTACCTTAATGGAGAGGGTGATTGGTTTAATGCTGCGGGGAAGGTTGTAGGTATTGAACATGAGTTTTGGATTTCGTAGAAATTCTGGTTTTAAGATGTAGCCACAGCCTCCATTGTCATTGAATTTCCCAACTAGTAAATCCATAGGAATTCCAGGAGTCTGAAAGTTTAACGCCACTACAAGACAATAAGAGACATTTCATTGGTGGATAAGGAGCACTGATGACAGATTTTTTCCGTTGTGTGATGTATTTTAATGTAAATGGAGCCCAGTTTATTAACAGACAATACTTGTTACAAATGAATCAGGATTATAATTAATTGCTAGGTTTACTAAATATATTGATGTCATCCGCTATGGAAGCCTTGTTTGGAGGTTCTCACTATACATGGCCCAGAATAGCTTCATAAAAGTCAATTATTTGCTTCTTTATCCTAAAAAGATTGCATTTGTTTTTATCAGAAGTAGAACTGTTACATATAAAGTTCTATCAATGCACAGTGCGGTCCACTTGCTGTGAAGGTGATCTATGTAACTGCAAAGGGAATGTCTCTATAAACACCCTTTTTGCCAAACATGCCATCTAGTGGTGATAATGTGCAAGTGTACTTTCCCCAAATACTGTTAGTAATATTACACAAGGTTATTCTCTAAACATCGGATTTTACCACAATGGACAAAATCTCGTAAAAACAACCCATTTCTGAATTTCTTTAGGAATTTGCAGGTTTACTAAAGCCAAACATAGTCAGGATTCAGCTAATCTGACTGTTTATGTAAAATTCGGAAGCAATCGGAACCTTAAATTTATCAACGCCTGCATGACGACCGAATAGAACCCAAATGTAGCCAGATAAATATACATTCGCAAATTATGATTCACTTGCTTTTTGCAAGAGAATTGATTGCTTGACGTACTATTTGGCCGCTGAAAGCACTAATGTCACATAACGGGAGGGGAATTATCTCTCCTGTGCTCCCACCAATGGGCATTGCGTGGGTTTTTTTTTAAATATTCTTGGGGGACCCTTAGCACCCACCATTGGTGATAGATGGTGGCCCTAATATTGATAACAAAGTGGGGGACCTAGTGTCCACCCTTAGCACCCACCATTGGTGGCCCTAATATTTATAATAAAGTGGGGGACCTAGTGTCCACCATTAGCACCCACCATTGGTAATAGGTGGTGGCCCTAATATTTTTAATAAAGTGGGGGACCTCGTGTCCACCCTTAGCACCCACCATTTGTGATAGGTGGTGGCCCTAATATTCAGAATAAAGTGGGGGACCTAGTGTTCACCCTTAGTGAACACTAGGTCCCCCACTTTATTATGGTGGTAGGTGGTGGCATTAATGTTGATAATAAAGTGCGGGACCTAGTGTCCACACCCTGACCCCACCCATGAGAGATGTTGGGAGCCCTAATATAAAAAATGAATGGGGGGTCCAAGTGCCTGTCTGACTGGGTGAGAGCCATAATATTAATAAATAATTGGGTGGGACCTAGTGCACCCCTTGTTCTCACCCTGTCTCCAAATCATGTAACATAAAGAATATTGCTAATATTTGCCAATCCAACACAGGATGTGACTACAGGTCTTGTTCCTGCTCTAATCATTTCCCACCTTGACTATTGTAACTCAGCCTATATCTTCCCTTCCATATACCCACATTGCACCCACTTCAGTCTGTAATGTTTGCAGGCTCATCTTCCTGACTTACCACTCTATCTATATTACATGTGAATAATAATATTATCTAAATTACATATGAATAATAATATTCTCTATATTACATGTGAATAATAATATTATCTAAATTACATGTGAAAAATAATATCTATATTACATGTGAATGACAATATTATCTATACTACATGTGAATAATAATATAATAATATCTAAATTACATGTGAATAATAATACTATTATCTATACTACAGTTGAATAATAATATTATCTAAATTACATGTGAATGACAATATTATCTCAAGTACATGTGAATAATAATACTATCTAAAGTACATGTAAAGTCTAAAGTACATGTGAATAATATTATCTATACTACATGTAAATAACAATATTATCTAAATTACAAGTGAATAATAATATCTAAATTATATGTGAATAATATCTAAATTACATGTGAATGACAATATTATCTCAATTAAAGTGAATAATAATATCTACATTAAATGTGAATATTAATATTATCTATACTACATGTAAATAATAATATTATCTATATTACATGTGAATAATATTATCTATACTACATGTGAATAATAATATTAAATAAATTACATGTGTATGACAATATTATCTAAATTACAAGTGAATAATAATTTCTAAATTACATGTGCATAATAATACAATCTAAATTACATGTGAATATCAATATTATCTATACTACATGTGAATAATAATATTATCTAGATTACATGTGAATAACAATAATATCTATACTACATGTGAATATTAATATTATCTAGATTACATGAGAATAATGATAGTATCTATCTTACATGTGAATAATAATATTATCTAAATTACACATGAATGACAATATTATCTATTTTATATTATCTATCTATAGCCTTTAAGCCAGAGCCAATCAGAGCACCCTAATAAGGATGGCCTTACAAGCCAACCAATCAGAGCACTCTAATGAGGGTGGCCTTACAAGCCAACCAATCAGAGCACTCTAATGAAGGTGGCCCTGCAAGCCAACCAATCAGAGAAATCTAATGAGTGCAGCCTTACAAGCCAACCAATCAGAGGACTCTAATGAGAATGGCCTTACAAACCAACCAATCAGCGCACCCTAAGGAGGATGGCCTTACAAGCCTACCAATCAGAACACTCTAATGAGGGTGGCCTTGCAAGCCATCCAATCAATGCACTCTAATGAGGCTGGCCTTGCAAGCCAACCAATCAGAGTACTCTAATGAGGCTGGCCGTACAAGCCAACCAATCAGAACACTCTAATGAGGGTGACCTTACAAGCCAACCAATCAGAGCACTCTAATGAGGGTGGCCTTACAAGCCAACCAATCAGAGCACCCTAATAAGGATGGCCTTACAAGCCAAGCAATCAGAGGACTCTAATGAGGATGGCCTTACAAACCAACCAATCAGAACACCGTAATAAGGATGGCCTTACAAGCCAACCAATCAGAGCACTCTAATGAGTGTGGCCTTACAAGCCAACCACTTAGAGCACTCTAATGAGGGTGGCCTTACAAGTCAACCAATCAGAGCACCCTAATAAGGATGGCCTTACAAGCCAACCAATCAGAGCACTCTAATGAGGGTGGCCTTACAAGCCAACCAATCAGAGCACTCTAATGAAGGTGGCCTTACAAGCCAATCTCAGCACTCTAATGAGGATTGCCTTACAAGCCAACCAATCAGGCACTCTAATGAGGGTGGCCTTACAAGCCAACCAATCAGAGCTCTCTAATGAGAGTGGCTCAGTAAAGATGCCTAATGTGAGCCGGAGAACAATCTGTGGTGTGTCTTTGTGGTCATTTATTTTAAATAGAGACACTAAGCAGTTTCACTTACACCTCGCCCTATATTAAATTCTGGTTTTCCCTTGTTTGATTCTGTGTCATATACATCAATTCTAAAAAACAAAAAATGAAAGTGTAGGTACACTGGAAACAGAGATGGGTCTGTTAGTTAATAAACCAGGAAAATGCAGAAATGTTAAATAACTATTTTTCTTCAGTATATATGAATGAGGATCCTATGGCAAGTGATATGCAAATGATTACTGCAAAGAACTTGCAAAGAACTTGTGATTGGATGACTCGAGACTAGGTACTATAGCAGTTAAAGAAAATTAATGGAAATAAAGCTCTGGGGACTGACGGTATTCGGCCATGAGTACTTAAGAAACTAAGTGGGGAAATAAGTGAACCTCTGTAATTAATCTTTCAAGATTATTTTGTTTCAGGTATTGTACCGAATGATTGGAGGAAGGCAGATGTCGTTCCTATATTTAAAAAGGGTTCAAAATCCTTGCCTGGAAATTATAGACCTGTAAGCCTAACTTCTGTGACTGGGAAAATATTTGAAGGGCTATTAAGGGATAATATTCAGGAATTCATTGGGAAGAACTTTGTTATTAGCAATAATCAGCATGGGAAATAAAGATCATGTCAAACTAACCTAATTGCATTCTATGAAGAAGTAAGTAGAAGTATAGATCAGGGTGTTGCAGTGTGAAACGGACCGTTTTGCCCACAAGCGGTTAAAAAACGTTTAGGCGATCTTCCCCTTTCAGATGCACAGACAGCTACTGCAGTCACAACTCTCCCGAACTGCAAACACACGAATTCTCCAACTCCTGAACAGGAAACTCACGAATACTGGAAACAGCTGAACAGGAAAAGCATACAATCAGCTTACACTCCTGGCAATCAAACTGGAACAGCATACAATAAATCCTCCCCCAATAATGAGACGACACTTCACTTTGAGGGTTAAGCAGGAACTCTCTGTAATGGCCACACACTGGCTTTTATGCAAGTCCCCATGCAAGGGGACATCCCACAGGGTGGGACACAGTACAACCAATCGTTACAGGGGAACCATAAAACACACCCACAATATCATCACAATCCCTCCTCTCTGTCCTGGAGATAATTGTGAAGTAATCAAATTATCTCCAAGGACAGAGGCAAAACTCCATTGAACACATGGCAGACAAAGGACAATAAAAGACATAAAATTACATACAGTTACATTTATACCATAAAACATAGACATTCTACATATCCCCAGATAGCTTAGATCTGAGTGCACATTACTACCGAATGGCGCTCAGATCACATACATACAGCTCAATCGCCATGGAGCCAAAGTCTTTCATCCAGTCTTTCAGTATACGGCTGGGCTCCATGGCATAGCTATCTGAGGTAGCATGGCTTTAACAGTCCACAGAAAGGCATGAATAAACCTTTCTGCTGGTAAAATAAAAGTTTAAAATGCAGGACCATAGTCTAAAGGGAGCAGGCGAGCAACCAGGCCTCTCCAGTGGACAGTGGAGAGGTTGGTTCCGCCACACAGTGGATGTGATCTACTTGGATTTTGCCAAGGCATTTGATACGGTTCCTCAGAATAGATTAGTCTTCAAACTGAAAGAAATTGGTCTAGATGAATATTCTTG